TGGGGTAGTGTTGGGGTGATGCTAACAGACCAGCTTGTAGTAAGTGATAACCTTGGGTAGTGATGGGGTGACACAGACCAGCTTGTGGCAAGTGACAACCTGGGGTAGTGTTGGGGTGACACTTACAGACCAGCTTGTGGTTAGTGACAACCTTGGGTAGTGATGGGGTGACACTTACAGACCAGCCTGTGGCAAGTGACAACCTGGGGTAGTATTAGGGTGACACCTACAGACCAGCTTGTGGTAAGTGACAACCTGGGGTAGTGATGGGGTGACACTTACAGACCAGCCTGTGGCAAGTTACAACCTGGGGTAGTGTTGGGGTGACACTTACAGACCAGCTTGTGGCAAGTGACAACCTGGGGTAGTATTAGGGTGACACCTACAGACCAGCTTGTGGTAAGTGATAACCTAGGGTAGTATTAGGGTGACACCTACAGACCAGCTTGTAGTTAGTGATAACCTGGGGTAGTATTAGGGTGACACCTACAGACCAGCTTGTGGTTAGTGACAACCTGGGGTATTGTAGGGGTGACACCTTCAGACCAGCTTGTACTAGGTGACAACCTGAGGTAGTGTTTGGGTGACACCTACAGACCAGCTTGTGGCAAGTGATAACCTGGGGTAGTGTTGTGCGGTGGTTATCAGGAAGCCACCAATATGCAAGCTCCTTTGATCTGTTGACATGGTACGAACTATAGGCAAGCTCCTTTGATTTGTTGTCAGGGTAACACCTACAGGCCAGCTCCTTTGATCTGTTGTCAGGGTAACACCTACAGGCCAGCTCCTTTGATCTGTTGTCAGGGTAACACCTAAAGGCCAGCTCCTTTGATCTGTTGTCAGGGTAATACCTATAGGCCAGCTCCTTTGATCTGTTGTCAGGGTAACACCTACAGGCCAGCTCCTTTGATATGTTGTCAGGGTTACACCTACAGGCCAGCTCCTTTGATCTGTTGTCAGGGTAACACCTATAGGCCAGCTCCTTTGATCTGTTATCAGGGTAATACCTACATGCAAGCTCCTTTGATCTGTTGTCAGGGTTACACCTACAGGCCAACTCCTTCGATCTGTTGTCAGGGTAATACCTACAGGCCAGCTCCTTTGATCTGTTGTCAGGGTTACATACACCTACAGGCCAGCTCCTTTGATCTGTTGTCAGGGTAACACCTACAGGCCAGCTCCTTTGATCTGTTGTCAGGGTAATACCTTCAGGCCATCTCCTTTGATCTGTTGTCAGGGTTACATACACCTATAGGTCAGCTCCTTTGATCTGTTGTCAGGGTAACACCTACAGGCCAGCTCCTTTGATCTGTTGTCAGGGTAATACCTACAGGCCAGCTCCTGTCATCAATGACAACCAAAAGTGCCATGTACAGTGTACAGTGTCTGGTGATACCTATATAGGTCACCAGATCTTGTGCACTGCTGGATGTTGAAATGAAAATATGGCATCATCTGACAATAATTTGTATAGGCAAAACAGACCAATTTAAATAATTTGCTAGTCTTTGTCACATTGTCTTATAGGCACTCATTTAGCAGACACAAAACTACATTCATGGTTACATTTGATGGGGAAGACAGATATGATCATTGGTATTATACAGTGTAATGTACTGTATTAATTGAGAAACAAGACCAGGGCACCAACACATAATCTTGATGGCTTACAGTAGGGGGTGGGCTTATTACAGGACAACTGTCATTAGGATCATCTCTGAACTACAACAAAAAGTATAGCTGGGCTTATTTCCAGGCATAGACTTATTGTCAAATAAATATGGTGTAACCCAGGACTCAAAAATGTTGAAAACAATAATATCTCAGGCCAATCTCCAACATTTTCTTACTGTCATGATACATTCAGCCATAATAAAGTAAGTATGTTGGTTATTTCTTAGGCAACAAAACTCACATACCACAACAGATACACCCAATACAACACCTATAAGATAGCAGTAATTACACAACACATAAAACATCTTCTAGTTTCTCTCCACTAAACTCCCATGTTGTACATAAAACACAAAACAAAATTCATGAAATAAATTCCAGTGAAAGTGCATTCCGCAAAGAAGGTGATCAATTAAGTAAAAAAAAATCTATTTTATCCGTCATCCAAACCCAAAACCCATTTTGCATTGTTTTCTTAAAGAAATTAATCAAAGGTAAAAATCAGGTGTATTTTGTTACATGAAGCTGACAAGACATATTAGGACTATAGACTTTTCTATCAGCTTTACCACAAATCCTCACTGGATGAGCCAACTCCTCTGTGAGAGAAAAAACTCAGACTGATTTATCAGTTTGCAGTGAGGTAAATGAGGTGATGATGCCTTGAGACCTATGATGTAGCCCTGTTGTTGATTTTTTTTGAGAAAATAAAACAAGCTTTCTTCTCCCAGTTTCATTAAAATGAACTGTATCAAATTGCTAATGGAGAATGAAATTATGTGAAACGCTGCCAATACTTTAACGTGATTGGCCTCACAGCAAACTCCGGGTATCAAATATAATCTTTCACAGCACTTCACCAATTGTACCAAAACCCTATGGGTATACATACAGGGGAGGCTACCATCATTATTTATTTAGACAACATGAACATTTTAACTTTGTAAATGCTTTTTTTTTGCACTATTAGGCTGTAGATCGGACAGATTTTATGTCAACCTTCACCGAAATTTCTTGCATAAATGATTTTATAGACATCTATACTGTTCAGGCAAAAACTTGTGTCTAGTCTGGATATCGACATGATGGCAATATTCACAATTTAACTCACAAATGTGGAAATTCTTGTGGAAAGTATCTCTTATCGCCTATGATACAAATATCGTACTTTGACCCTAGCAGGAAGAACATTTTTTTTTGTGTTCGCTTTTTCTAATACATGTATATACCATTTGGAGAGGTAAAACAGCTGGCAGCTAATACTTGGTTACAGTGCTACGGAACGAGGCCACCAATAATCTTGATTAGACTCATCAGTATAGAACATAATGGAGATCTCAGTCACTGCTGGACATAAAACATCACTTGATTCCTGGCCAATCAGTATTTAGAGGCTGGAGGTCAGAGGGTAACTGCTTGGAGGCCATTAAATGGCGTGACACTTAGGTTGGTAAGTAGGCCTAAATGTTCATTGATCAGTGGACAGAGCTACTCGCTAATCAGAGAAAGCAGGAAGGGGTAAAGGGTAACTCCTTTGGAACGTTAAATGTCTGTCTGCATTGATTCTGCTCAACAGAATTTCCTAGTTATATATTCTTCTCCACTGGACCAATGGCTACAATACCAAGTGGTCAATCACTATACTGACCAGGTCAAGGCTTATAGAGGGAAAGTTTTAATGGCATGACATAATATCTAACCTATATTAATGAAGTGTATCAAGATCAAGAGCTACTTATAACATTCAAAATAGTTTAATTCTGATAGTGTAGTTAATTCCCAAAATATAACCATGTTTGAGCAGGCGTTCAGTTGGGACAATCCCAGCTGTGTATAAGAAATAAGGAAAACTGACTATATAGTAGTCATGTTTTAACTTAAAACGTCTGGACACTCCTTAGTATTGGTAGACAGTGGGAATGTACACCCGTAGTGAGAGATAATCTAGCTTGAAATGGAACTATGAAGCTTGGTAAGTCTCCACAAATCCATCTAAAATCACCTCTAGTGTTGAAACCAAATTCCTTGAAAGGTAACTGACTTCATTCCATGATCTCATACACTGTTATGTACTCTACCTATCTATGTCTTCAATGACTTAATGAGAAGTGGTTTGTACTCTACCAGACTATTGTATATAGCCTAAGTGTTGTAGTTCATGTCTGGGGGTATATATGTACCGCAGTTTGTGGGGATTAGCATATGATGGTAAAAATATATCTGGGATAATTATGTGTGGAAAATAATGTGTGGAAAATATTCAAGATTTTTTTTAATAATTATATTTTATGTTTTTAAAACATTCATTCAGAACAAGACATATGGATATGTGTGACACTATAAAATGGTGAGAACAAAATTAAACTAGGCATAAATATTCAACACAGTACATGTTTGATCCATTTCACTGTTTCAAATCAATTTCAAATTTTTGATGAACTTTTTTGGCCCACACTGTCAGAGGTGATACATCATTACATGGCATCTACTTGGTGCCGCACTTCGGGGACAATCAAAGTACAGTATTTATAGCGCGATACCGACGCAACATACCTGGGATGAAGTTAATAGGTATCTGGCTCAAATGTTACACCATATAAAATTTAAAGTGAAAATGGCCAACAGTAACCAAATGTTAATAATTACGTAATGTACAGTCCACAGATGCAATGTTAATAGAAAAAAAATCTTCCCATCTTGAAATAAAATGAAAGTTTGGGGGATAAGATAATATTAACACACAAATTTTTGCCGTCACTGAAATTCACTTACTCTAAATAAAACATTCCTGATTTTACTTTTTCATGAGAATTTATCTACATTCTTATATCACAAGTGTAAGACAATACAAATTTGCATGTCATTCGGTACATAGAAAGCACCAATCTGACAGGAGATTTCATGTCCTGATGTCCAGTTCCTGGTTTGTACTGTCTGCAAGTTCCTCACACAGATCATAGTTCTTGGAATAACAGAGGAACACTAAGGAAAAGAAAACCTACCGAGCCATGAATTGTGCATCCTTTGACAGATGGACAGACAGCCAGCTGAAGACTCGAGCTGAATTTTTTATACAACTGGTGTAGAACCTCAAGCTAAAATCTAGCTTAAGGTGTAAATGCAGCATGTTCTGGTGACAAAAAGATTGGGTCCTGCTCTAACATAGGGCTTGAAAGAATGCACACATAAACTTTCCTGGTCTGTGTCTCATATACAGCCTAGTAGATAATGTTTTCATATATACCTTCGTTGTACACTTCTATGAGAGTATTCTTGATAAAAAAACCTTGAACTGAACTCTCATTCCGACAAAAACAAACACTTACCTTCAATAATGATGTATCACCATGTCTGTTGTCATATACCTGGCCCTACAACATACAAAAAAGGACTCGATGAATTACCACAATCACAAATCAGATCTTCATCAAATTACCGTTGAAGAACACAAATGCTGCTTGATAGGTAACAGTGACCCTGACTAAAGCTGTGTGCAGAGTGCACTTGATCACATGTTACACGCGAGCGTTCTAACCCCAGATATACACGATCACATGTTACACGCGAGCGTCCTAACCCCAGATATACACCTCACTTATTGTCATCACTTGTGTTTGGAACATCCCGAGATTGTACACAGATTACTGCATGGTGTGTATTATCGTAACATGGTGTGTTTTATCGTAACATGGTGTGTATTATCGTAACATGGTGTGTATTATCGTAACATGCTCTGTATACCATGTAATATTGTTGTCTTTGATAGTCGATGTTAAACTCAGCAAACAAACTGCCTGTAACTTGTTTTCACAGTATATTTTTAGCCTGATAAACTTGTAAGCATGCCCTAATTGTTAACAGAGACATGCTGAGTTCCAGTGAGAGCTATGTACCTTGTCTAAAGTCAATATAGTCAGAGTAAACATTTGTTCCGTAGGTACACAACTCAGAATTTGGGTTTTTATATTGATATAGCTATAATGTATATAAATACATACAGTTAAAATTGTACCTAAGTTTTTAATAGAGGTCCTCCCAACGTGTTCCATTAACACTACTAGATTTAATATACAGACGAATCCCACCATGTTGAAATCGGCTGGACCATAACAATACAGGTTATTGAACCTTTAATGAAATGCAGTTATTAACAATGGTATTTACTTTGAGATCCTTTGTTGTTAATTTGTTTAATTGTTTTATTACGTCTCAGCTCAAGTTGTTTTCGTAACTTGGCCTAGAACACTGTTACATGTAATTGGTTCAATGGTATCCCCACCACCTGTAAGATCTGTCAATCATCCCCCCCCCCCCCCCCCCCCCCCCCCCCCCCAATACCTATACCACATACAGACAGCGTGACTGAGACGCCTGTGAGCGAGGCATATATATGTATCAATAGTAACAAGGAAACATCTACGGAATCTCAATGGAGGTTTGATCTGTATACAGACCCGACATTCTCCGAACATCATAACAGTATGTCAAGTACCAACACTCACCGTAACATGGTAAAGACCTACTGAGAAAACCCAGGATGTAAAAGCGTAATAGTATGTGGAGAAATGCAGGATACATTGCACAACATATATCATAATTATACATGTGGGGAACATAGCAATATATATCATAATTATACATGTGGGAATCCAAATCATTGTAGCTTAATACAACACAATGTTGAGAAATATCATTATCGCTGTCTTAAAACACTTTTTTACCCTAAAACCAAACATACCTAGAGACAAATCCTAACGACATAACTCTTACATTTGTTTCGTACTTGACTTAATTGATCAAGGTTGCCCCTACCCAGCAGGTTATAGACATTGTGTCAAGCCCCGACTAAATGCAGGCACACCTTAAAGCCGCCCTGTTATGTTCGGCAATCACTCAATTACCGTCTACTACTGACACAGACATCAAGGCCTGCTTACGATGCTACAAATAGGTATTGTTGTCTACAGTATCATTGACTCACAAGGGACTTCTGTATCTCAGTCTGAAGGTTTTATAACACTATTCCTGAAGATTACTGACAAACACAATTCCGGTGCTGTGACAGAAGTGTCAACTAACACCAGCCGAGACCAAACGCAATAATGATCCTACAACATGGGGGAGTTAATAGCTTGTTTTTTAAAATTAGAATGTTAATAAAAAAATCTTGAAACCAATGCATACAGACATTTCTTCAGAATTATTTGTTTTCATTCAAGGCCTTGCAGTATATTGACATTTCAAATTACTAATTCAACTTTTCAAAAGCTGAATACTAATTATATAAACTAAATCCCATATCAATTTGAATTTTCCTGCAAGGCACATTCAATTTCAGCTGAATTTATTTGTTTTATTTTTAGGATGATACCTTCAATAACCTCTCTTAACTGAGAGTTAGTTACCTCCCTTTCCGTAATAGTAAACCTGTGTTACTTCCCTTTGATTTACTGTGTAATCTGATAAACAAAAAACGTTTCAAAGTAAAGTACCTGGTGATTGCCCCACTTAGGTCGTGAACCATCGACCCAGTGTTGGAGGACTAGTGGTAGCAGGATGGCAGATGCCTTAACCACTTGGCCACCACGGCCCCCAACATATATGACAGGAATATCAAATGCTCTTTATACCTAAATATCAGGGTAAAGCTCTGACATTTACAATTCTTAACCCTTTCACACCTATGTAACTTCAGTAGACTCTAACATTCATTGATCTGGATAAGTCCATCATGGTCTACAGTGGTGAAAGGGTTAAGAGCCTTATACAATTTTAATTTGACCTGTTTTGGTGTGATATGAGTGATTCAAACCTCATTTATATCAATACTTTTAGTATTTGTTGATTTTAACTAATTTGTAAGGATTTGAATAAAACGCTAGTATAGGGTCTGGTCTGCCAGCTTGCTAACACGTGTCTGGGATACTATATGTTAGCTTGCTAACATGTGTCTGGGATACTATACGTGAGCTTGCTAACACGTGCCTGGACATCTGTTGTTGAGCTTGCTAACACGTGCCTGGATATCTGTTTTTGAGCTTGCTAACACGTGCCTGCATATCTGTTTTTGAGCTTGCTAACACGTGCCTGGATATCTGTTTTTGAGCTGTCTGAATTGGTAATCTTGATTCCCCAGAGGAATTAACATTATATAATGTATCTACATAGCACTTCTTAATCACAATTACTTAATAATGTATCTGTCTTGTCAATTAAGTCACTTCTTCATCCCAATAAGTTAATACTGTATCCGTCGTGTCAAGTCTGATCATCACTTGGACAGGATTACATGTTGATGGTTGCATGCATACTGTGTATCTGTTTTGAACTTTGGATATACCTATAGTTACACCAGACAATTCCTGTTTAAGTAAAGGTTAGTCCAAAGTTTGAAACAATTCTACTGGGCGTAGGGCTTTCAGCAGACCCTCGAGTGTATGGATTTGACTCTATGGTTTTAACGGACAGGTCTATTTGACATAGGTTTTGACTTTCCAAATTTCAGTGAAACAGCCGTTTGACTTGTGAAATTGCTAATTGTCCATGATCAACTGAAAGCCGTGCTGGTTTATAAAAATATACACAACCAGCAGCAGAAGATTTCACAGACAAGTGACATCATCTAACTATACACAACCAGCAGCAGAAGATTTCACGGACAAGTGACATCATCTAACTATACACAACCAGCAGCAGAAGATTTCACGGACAAGTGACATCATCTAACTATACACAACCAGCAGCAGAAGATTTCACGGACAAGTGACATCATCTAACTATACACAACCAGCAGCAGAAGATTTCACGGACAAGTGACATCATCTAACTATACACAACCAGCAGCAGAAGATTTCACGGACAAGTGACATCATCTAACTATACACAACCAGCAGCAGAAGATTTCACGGACAAGTGACATCATCTAACTATACACAACCAGCAGCAGAAGATTTCACGGACAAGTGACATCATCTAACTATACACAACCAGCAGCAGAAGATTTCACGGACAAGTGACATCATCTAACTATACACAACCAGCAGCAGAAGATTTCACGGACAAGTGACATCATCTAACTATACACAACCAGCAGCAGAAGATTTCACGGACAAGTGACATCATCTAACTATACACAACCAGCAGCAGAAGATTTCACGGACAAGTGACATCATCTAACTATACACAACCAGCAGCAGAAGATTTCACGGACAAGTGACATCATCTAACTATACACAACCAGCAGCAGAAGATTTCACGGACAAGTGACATCATCTAACTATACACAACCAGCAGCAGAAGATTTCACGGACAAGTGACATCATCTAACTATACACAACCAGCAGCAGAAGATTTCACGGACAAGTGACATCATCTAACTATACACAACCAGCAGCAGAAGATTTCACGGACAAGTGACATCATCTAACTATACACAACCAGCAGCAGAAGATTTCACGGACAAGTGACATCATCTAACTATACACAACCAGCAGCAGAAGATTTCACGGACAAGTGACATCATCTAACTATACACAACCAGCAGCAGAAGATTTCACGGACAAGTGACATCATCTAACTATACACAACCAGCAGCAGAAGATTTCACGGACAAGTGACATCATCTAACTATACACAACCAGCAGCAGAAGATTTCACGGACAAGTGACATCATCTAACTATACACAACCAGCAGCAGAAGATTTCACGGACAAGTGACATCATCTAACTATACACAACCAGCAGCAGAAGATTTCACGGACAAGTGACATCATCTAACTATACACAACCAGCAGCAGAAGATTTCACGGACAAGTGACATCATCTAACTATACACAACCAGCAGCAGAAGATTTCACGGACAAGTGACATCATCTAACTATACACAACCAGCAGCAGAAGATTTCACGGACAAGTGACATCATCTAACTATACACAACCAGCAGCAGAAGATTTCATAGACAAGTGACATCATCTAACTTTTAAGGACTGGCAATGTGAAATGGTATCATCACTGTATTGCTGAATTAGAAAATATTGTTACTACAAGGGCACATCCACAAATCGTCTGAAAACCTCCATGTGTACTGTATACCAGGAACATTTTGCCCAGTCAAACTTTCACCCTGCACCGGTAAAATTGATAATTATGTTGTTTACAAATGTTCGCTGTAATGATTAAATACAGAAGGAAAAAAGGGCAAAAATTAAACAGTGGCGAAATGTTCCCGGTGTGCAGTTTTTAACCATAATGAGATGATCCTAGAGTTGTATCTTGCATTGTGACACTGTAAAACTGATTACAGACAAACAGTCACAGTAAACAGTATAATGGGACTTAATTAACAGATAGAATGGAAAGAAATGGGGATTA